ACAGAGGGGCTCTGAAAGACTCTATCCAGCAGGGTATCAAAGCAGATGCTGAGACTCATAGCCAAACTTTGGGCAGAGTGCAGGGAATCTTAGGAAAGAAGAGGGAGACAGAAATACCTGTAGGGGACAGGAGCTCCACAAAGAGAGCAGCAGAACCAAGAAATCTGGGCCCAGGGGTCTTTTCTGAGATTGATACTCCAACCAAGGACCATACATGGAGATAACCTAGAACCCCTGCACAGATGTAGCCCACGGCAGCTCAGTATCCAAGTGGGTACCCTAATAAGGGGAACAGGGACTGTTTCTGACATGAATTCAGTGGTTGGCTATTTGATCACCTCCCACTGATTGGGGAACAGCCTTACCAGGCCACAGAGGAAGACAATGCATCCAGTCCTGATGAGACAAGATAGGCTAGGGCCAGATGGAAAAGGAGGAGGACCTCCCCTATCAGTAGACTTGGAGAGGGGCATGGGAGGAGATGAAGGAGAGAGGGTAGGTTTGGGAGGGAATGAAGGAGGGGGCTACAGCTGGGATACAAAATGAATAAACTAATTAATATAAAAAATAAAAATAAATAAATGTTCTTTCTATTCAAAGTGGTATACAAATTCAGTTTTTACATAAGTAGAAAAACCAAAACTGAGGTTAAAAAAAAAAAAAAAAAAACTGAGGTAAATGCACGTAGTGAATGTCTTACTTAGCTTGTGTAACCATTCCGCGTCACATGCGTACTTCCAAATTCGCATCAGACCTCATAAGAATATAGAGTTAGGTTTGTTTTCAATTAAAAATGCAGGGCCAGAGAGGTGACTCAGCAGTTACGAGCACATGCCCCTCTTCTAGAGGACTCAAGTCCCGTTCCCAGCAGTCACATCAAGCAGCCCCCAAAGACCTGAGACATCAGTTCCAGGGAATGCCATGCGCTCTTCTGTCCTTGCAGGGCATACATGCATGCAGCATACGCAGATACAGAAAGAAAAAGAAATTATTTTGGTTTGGTTTTGTTTTTTTGAAACAGAAATTCTCTGTGCAGCCCTGACAGTCTTAGGACTTTCTCCATAAACCAGGCAGGACTTGAACTCAGAGATCCAACTGCCTCTGCTTTGCCAGTGTGGGGATTAAAGGCATGCACACATAAATAACCTTAGGTCACATTATATTGCAGGTACAGGGTTAGGTTTTATCATAAATTCTCAAAACTACCTAAGTCAAATGGTCTGTGCATGTGTAAATCACAAAGATGGTGCTGCCCTGCCCTCCACAGAGCCTTACCAAACCGCACTCCCACTCATTACATAAGAAAATGCCTTTTCCTGAATCCCTGCCAACGGTGAGTCGTCAAACACCTCCGTCTCTGCCAACTGCATAAGCAAAAAATACTGCAGTATAGCTTTAGCTGGAATTTTTTGTAAGTATGTATAAACATGTTTTAAATATATTTGAAAGCCATCTAATGTCCAGATCTAAGAATACTTTATTTTTTTCACTTATATATATTTCACTAAGCTTTCTTTGATTTCATATGCTGAGCTTCAGTTCTTTCCACACTAGGATAACTAAAATCAACTTTGAATATGAAACAAACACATATTATATTTACTCCTTTTTACCACACTGTATTTTGCCAGACCCTTTTTTTGATTGTATGTACCTGAATGTGTCTGTATTTTAAGGTTTCTTCATTTGGTGTTACAATTAGCTATGCTTACTGTCATTCTGGGTATTAATCAAGTTTTTGTAACTCTATCAGCTACTTCTCTCACTTCTTTTAAACACTTAAATATTTGATGCTCCAAGTTTAACTGTGGAATATATACCCAACTATATTTTACTAAAACCTCTCAGGTTAATATTATTTGCTGAATAACGATTATTCTAAATTGAATAAGCAGCTCATTTAAAGCTTTTTTGGGATGAAAAGTGGCTCTGTTTATTGAGGTTTCTAATATAAGCAGTGTCTCTGAGTTGTAGACACAAGATGAGAATCTGGTTTATTTTCCCTCCCTCCTCCACTGTTCAGTAATTATTATGTTTAGTGTTTCTCCTGGGAACGTTGGCTTCTTTATATAATTTCCCTTAACACTCTGTTTCGACAGCTCTCATCAGTGTCTACAGTTCACCTGAATAAGTGCCTAGCCAATGGCTCCAGGAGGCTGTCTCTGTACCTTGAGTTTCTATTAAAAGAGCTGCAGTCTAATGTATTAAAGAAGTAAACTGAGACAATTTAGGAGCCTGAGTTTCCCAACAAGTAGCTGGGTATCATGCAATAATAAGCATCTAAGTTCAATGAATCATGGGTAGTCAGCCATTAGATGATATCCAAATACATCCAACTTCTCACCATGACCAGCTATTTCTGAACCTTAGCCACTTTTTCTATGTGTAAATATTGACTGCCCACATTGCAGAGTGGAGCTCTTGAACCTCTCCTAATGGCAAGTACTGCTGAAGCATTCTTTCCTAGAAAGTACCCTAAATCATCTAAAGCTTTCTAACACTTCGTACTGCTCTCAGCAATATAAAGATGTTAGAATATAGAACTGAACATATTTTTTATCTGTGTGTATGGGGTGTGTGTGTGTGTGTGTGTGTGTGTGTGTGTGTGTGCGCGTGTGTGTGTGTTTGGGTACAAGAATGTGGGCACCCTACATGAGGAGGTTGCTCCTTGCCTTCCACCGTCTTTAAACAAGGTCCCTTGATATACAACAGTATGTGTGCCAAGCTAGGTGACCAGGGAGCATCCAAGGACTCCCCTGTCTCTTCCTCCCACCTCACAGTAGGAACACTGGGATTATAGATGAATGCAGTTAAACACAGCATCCTGTGCACTCTGAAGGTCAAAATTCAGGTCAACACAGTTTCACTAAAGCTTTCTAATAACACTTGGTACTGCTCCCAGCCATATAAAGATGTTAGAATGCAGAACTGAACATATTTTTGATCTGTGTGTTTGGGGTGTGTGTTTGCTTGAGTATGAGAATGTGGGCACCCTGTGTGAGGAGGTTGCTCCTTGCCTTACAGTGAGAACTGTACCCACTGAACCTCCTCCACAGACCAGAAGTGAATATACCTTTGTTGTTCCCATATCATCCACAATGCTCAACATTTTAATAATAACTGATAACAACAGTACATTGAAAGATACTATGGAAACTCAGGTCAACATTTATTAATTATATTATGTTTAAAGTAAATATTAATTCATGCTGATATGAATAAATATTAAATAAATAAGTAATGGGAAGAAGGGGCAATTCTTGTTTCAGAAGAATTCCCATTGATAAATATTTAAAAAAAAATGAGAGGAACAAAAAAAAAATTCACTATTTAAATGCCATCGTAATAGTTGCTGTAAACAACTGACAGATGCTAAAATTGATTGCAAAAGTTTAATGAGCCATAAGGTAGTTGCATGGCTTTAGTGGATCCCCTAAAAGTGTCTGTTCACTGAAGTAGAGATTTTAAGTCCTCAAATTCTCATTCTTCCCACTGTGGGGTGGACTTAATGCATTAACCCTCTCTCTGCTTGACACTGACTGCTTCCTAAACTAAGGAGTATGGAGTATGGAACAGGGAGGAGCACAATTTTACAGCTCAGAAGCTTGACAGCCGTTTCACCTTAACCAAATGATTAAGGCTGGCCTCTGAAATCTTACAAAAGAAAAATGTCCACTCTTCTGTAACTTATGAATGCGCAGAGGAATCTGAGGCGGAGGAGCACAGCTAGTAAAGAGCTTGCTGTATGAGTATAAGGACATTTTGGGAGTCTTGTCTATGAGGTGAATAGCTTTGCTCCATCTAAGGCTACTTCCATGATGCTTTTGACTGGGTCCAAAAGCAATGGGTCAATCAAACATGAGCCAAAATTGGCCTATTCTTTTTATGAAGGGGTTGTTTTAGGAATTTGTTATCACAATGGAAAGTTGACTCACATAAAAAGTTATATACAAAATAAAATGGGAAATGATGTTATTTAAGCCAGCTGATCACAATCAGTTTTGTCCCAGGATTCAACCAGGACTTTCACTGTTGACATGAAATACAACAGTGGATCCCTTGTTCAAAGGGATCTAGGGATGTTTGTTCTGAGTGTAGTATGAGTTACCATGGCCTAGGAACATGATGTAGGTTTCTCTGAATGATATGTTCCACTGTGGAAATGATTACATAAACTTTTGTGGTAACAGAACAAAAGAAAGTCATAAATGCAGACATTTACTTCTTTGTTTACTTATCTATGTGCACACTTGTGGGTATTTGTGGGAGTCAGGGCTCAGTATCGGCTGCTCTCCTTAATTAGTTCTCCACCTTTAACATTTTTGTTTTTATTTACTTTTAACTGTGTAAGCCCGCATGTGTTTGTGCACATGAGCGCAAATGCCCTCTGAGGCCAGAAGCACTGGTTCTTCATGGGGTTGGAGTGACAGCCAGTCTCTCGCCACCTAGCATTGGTGCTAGGAACTCAACTTGGGTCTTCTGGGAGAGCAGTGCATGATATTAACTTTTAAGTCATCTCTCTGAAGCCTCCTGATCTTCAGTGAACTGATGATGGGCTGGGCTGGGTGTCCAGCAAGCCTCAGGGATCCTGTCACTGTCTACCGAGGTGTGCACCACTGAATAGAAAAGCAATGCATCATGGGGGTAGCCTTAGATAGAGCAAAGCTATTCGCCTCATTGCCAACACTCCCAAAATGGACAAAAAGGAAGAGGTTGGGTGTCTTAAAATCTTCTTCAAAAGCATGTCCCCTGATCTAGTCATTTTCCTCTTGCTGCGATAAACACCATGACTGAAAGCAAGCTGGGGAGGAGTTTATTTCTGCTTACAAGTTATCAAGGGAAGCCAAGGACAGGTGCTCAAGGCAGGAAATGAAACGGAGCCTGTGGAACACTGCTTACCGGCTTGCTCTCAGGCTCCCTTCCAAATACCTCTGTCACACAGCCCAGGCAGGCCTGCGACAGATGAAGGCAATTCTTAAGTTGTGGTTCACTCTCCCCAGGTGGGCCAAGTTGACAACTGAAGCTTCCTATGGCAAACCGCCTGATGTGAAGACCCCAGGCCTGACCTCTCGATGTTTCCACCACGTCTTAATAACACAAAACCTGGAAATGAGAGCATTTAACCAGCCAGCCTTTCAGAGACATTCCAGTCTAAACCTGGCATTTTCCAGGAAAAGTAGAGATTTGCTCTCTGTACTGAGACAGCTTGTGACTGCTTCCTTGTGGACAATCGAGAAGTGAAATGTTTTATGTGCCTAACCGATAATATAACAAATACTTTTCAAAATAATTTAATTAAATGGGATTTAAAATACATACTTGTCAATGTGGTAAATAATATCCCAGCTTAATAACACCAATTTGCAAATACAAATTCCCCTACAATCACTGCAGCAGTGAGGCCCCTAGTCCAATCTCTGTCTCAAAAATTACATCAAAATTTCCTCCTTTTTGGATACTTGCTCAACCATGTTTATAGCAGCATTATTTGTAATAGCCAGAACCTGGAAACAACCCAGATGTCCCTCAACGAAGGAATGGGTACAGAAATTGTGGTATTTTTAAACAATGGAATACTACTCAGCAATCAAAAAGGAGGAAATCATGAAATTTTCAGGCAAATGGTGGGATCTAGAAAAGATCATTCTGAGTGAAATATCCCAGAAGGAGAAAGACAAACACAGTATATACTCACTTATATAGACCTATAAGTTATGACAAACATAATGAAATCTATACACCTAAAAAAGATAATCAAGAGAGCGGACATGGGGTAAGATGATCAATCCTCATTTAGAAAGACAGATGGGATGTGCATTGAACGTATGACAGGAGTCTACTGAGCGCATCTGAAAGACTCTAATTAGCAGTGTTTTCAAAGCAGTTACAAAGACTCATGACCAAACCTTCGGCAGAGTACAGGGAATCATATGAAAGAAGGGGAGTTAGTATGATGGGGAAAGGATAGGAGCTCCACAAGGACCAAATATATCTGGGCACAGGGACTTTCCTGAGACTGACATTCAACCAAGGACCATGTATGGATATAACCTAGAACCTCTGCTCAGACGTAGCCTGTGGTAGCTCAGTAACCAATTGGTTTCCCATAGTGAGGGGAACAAGGACTATTTCTAACAGGAACTCAATGGCTGGCTCTTTGACCTCCCCACCCCCCAAGGGAGGAGCAGTCCTGTTAGGCCACAGAGGAGGGCTTCGCAGCCAGTCCTGAAGATACCTGATAAAACAGGATCAGATGAATGGGGAGGAAGTCCCCCCCCCCATCAGTGAACTTGGAAAAGGGCAGGGAGGAGATGAGGGAGGGAGGGTGGGGATGGGAGGGAATGAGGGATCGGGACACAGCTGGGATACAGAGTTAATAAAATGTAACTGATAAGAAAAAAATAAAATTAAAAAAATTTCCTCTTTTTTTAAAATTTTTGCTGCTTATTTTGGGTGGCCTTAGGATCAGGCGTACTAGTGCCTGACACACCAGCTTTTAACTTTAAATCCTGGAAGCTGTCATTACACATATTCTTCCCTAGACCTTAATAGGTGGGCTATTTGTACCTCAATAGTGGCCCTCCCTTATCTAAAATTTCACTTTTCAGGGCAAATAGAATCAAACCAGAAGCAAGCAAAAAATTTTGATTGTTTGCCTCAAAAACAGTGTGATGGGATCTGGTAAGCTGGCTCAACTGATAAAGGTACTTGCTATCATACGGTGCAAGAATTAAACACCTAAATTTAATCCTCGGCACCCATGTAAAAATTCTGATCCGCATATGTGTGCCGGGACACACACATTATACAAACACACAGTAATAAATGATAATAGAGCATGGTGTCCCACACCTTTAATCCCACCACTTGGGAGGCAGAGGCAGGCAGACCTCTGTGAGTTCGAGGCCAATCAGGTCTACACAGGGAGTTCCAGGATAAGTTACATAGAAAGACCCTGCCTCAAAAACAAAACAAAAACAAACAAGCAGTAAACGATAGCAGTAGTGGATGAAGTCCTGGACCTTCCCTCTAGAGATATAAGTCATCCTTTTGTTCAGAATGTCCACGCTGTATACACTACCCGCCTCCTTCTCAGTGGTCACCTCCATTATCAGATCAAGTGCTGTAGTACTGAAAAACTTGTGCTCAAGTAACTTCTCTTATAACAAGAAACAAATTTTTAATATGGTATGCTATTGTTAGTCTGCTATTCATCATAAATGTGTCTAATTTCTAAGTTAAATTTCATAGATATCGATGTATAGGAAAAGACAAAACAAAACTTAGTAATGTTTGATGTACTCTGCAATTTCAGGCATCCCGCTAGGTGTGTTGTAATGTATGGGATGGAGATAAGGAAAGACCACTTTGTGGCTTGTCAGATTCGTTCCAACCATTGTGCTAATCCCTGAGCAAGTGACCACAAGAAAAGATGTAATTCGGAACGTCCACCCTGCCTCCGTCTTTAAACGTCATGCAGCTGCGAAGAAACAATTACATTTGCATCAGTTAGAGCCCCTTCCTTCCTCCGAGCTCGGATCCTTGTGCGCTGGCTCCTTGCTCGAGGTATAAAGTTCCAGAGCCTTCTAGAAGCTGCACACTCCTGACAGGCTGGTCTGTGGGGGACCTTCGGCTTAATCTCAGACTCCACCCTCATTGCCCTTTGATCCTGCAGCGCGCCCTTATTGGTCTACCCGGCTACACCCCTGGGCCCGCCCCGAGGGGTGGGTCTCTACCGGAGGCTGCGCACTAGCGCCTTTAGCGTCCTCCCCTGCTGTTCGCTGGCTGGAGTTGGCTGTTTGCTCCTAACCCTGTGCTTCTTCTGTGACCACAGCTTCAAGTTCGCTTACTGTCTTCCCTGCAGTATGGGGCCGGCGCCGCGCGTCCTGGAGCTCTTCTACGATGTGCTGTCCCCCTACTCCTGGCTGGGCTTTGAGGTGACGCGGGAGAACCGCCAGGGCTACGGCCTGCGGGGCGAGTGCACAGGGGTGCACTGGGCAACAGAAATTCCTGGCGATTGCCCTCAGGGTTAGGACAAGCACAGACTGTTCCCGGGCTGAAGTTCACTTTGTGCTTCTAAACGAACTGTGGCTCCTCCAAGTAGGGTCCTGATTTCCTAAGGTCATATATTCTCTTCCCACATGGGCCGTAGACAGAAAAGGGGTGACTCCAAGAAAGCTAGGTGAAGTTTGGAGAGGGGTTCAGGGACGCGAGGATGCCCTACAGGATGGAAACCATACGCTGAAGTAAGGAGTCTGGTACCTGTTTCAAAGAGCTGAGAGTTCTGTGCTTTTAAACAGAGCTGTTCGGTGTGGAATAGTCATCCTCTGCACCTAGAGCCAGGAGACAGCCCTATAGGTCACTTATGCCATCTGTCCTCTCTAAATGCCACACAGGCTCCCCCCATATTTATTTGTTTGTTTGTTACCTCTGCACTGGTAGGTCCTATGCAGATACCAGCACCTCTGGAACATTAAGCTGCAGTTGCGGCCGGCTTTAATCGCTGGGATCATGAAAGACAGCGGTAAGCAAGGAGAAGCCCTCTCAGCTGGGCAAGGAGGGTTGTTTCTTGTAGCCTGAGGGGCCTGTCCTACACCCCTAAGCTAGCAGTTTGCTCTGTCTGGGAGGGGGCCCTGGCTTGAGACCCTCCTGTCTTCTCTCACCAGTTGTCTAACTCTCCACTGCCAGGAAACCACCCACCATCTATGGTTCCCCGAAAAGGCCAGTACATGCGCAAAGAGATCCCTCTCCTGAAGCAGTTCTTCCAGGTTCCCATCCACTTTCCCAAGGATTTCTATGATGTGGTTCTTAAGAAAGGTGAGGATGGGGTTGGAGAGATGTCGCAGAGCTTAAGAGCACTGGGAGCTCTTCTAGATTTGGTTCTTCTAGACCTGATTTGGTTCCCAGCACCGGTGGCCCACAACCATCCATAACTCCAGTTTCAGAGGAAATAGAAATAAAATTAAATAAATAAATACATAAATAAACAAACAAACAAATAAGTAGGTAAAGAGGGTCAGAAACAGTTGGAGAATTTCTTGGAGACCAGAACAGTCGGGGCTTTGTAAGAAAATCCCAGGGTCAGGGTCCTGGGTCAGGGACCCAGGGTCAGCTAGGCAAAAGGGGGGGGGGGCAGTGGCAGAGATGGTTGAGTATTCTAAGTCCGCCATTAGAAACTGGAATTAAAGAGTTCAGGTAATAGATCCTGGAAACATGTCAGAAGAAAGGATGATCTGGGCCTCCATCAGGACACAAGAAATAGGAATCTTAGCTCTCCATGCCTCTGCCCCACAGGAAGTACAAATGCCATGCGTTTCCTCACTGCTGTGAGCATGGAGCAACCAGAGATGCTGGAGAAGGTGTCCAGAGAGCTATGGATGCGTATTTGGTCTCAAGTAAGGACTGGATTCTGAATCCTGGAGGGAAAAGACAGATAGCTAGACGACATTCTGACACTTCCCAGGGCAATTTCCAGAAACAGGATCCTGCTGTCCTGCCTGTCTCTGTGCTACTTTGTTCCTGCTAAGCGTTTTCTTTTTCTTAGGATGAAGATATCACGGAGTCCCAGAGCATCCTGTCTGTGAGTGTCTGCACTGGAGCCCCCTACTATTGTTACAGAGAATCTGAGAACAGGAAAGGTTCTTAATGATTTAGAAAGAAAGTCTGCGTCTGAGGGGGACAGATTACTATAAAGTTGCAGCTAACAGGATTCTTTGAAGAGGTTTCTGTGGGCTAGTGTTATATCTCAGTTGCAGAGTTAAGCTCAGTGCATGCTTAATCTGCTTGAGACCCTGAGTTCAGTGCCCAGCCTCAACAACAAAATGTCTACTGTGGACCACACATGGATAAAGTGAGTTTGATGAAATAAGTGAATTATGTCAGTGGGAGAGAGAGGAGCAGTGTGGGGACACTAGATGGAAGGGTGGAGCCTTCCATTCTCAAGTCTCCAGGGATTCCCAGCACAAATGTCACTAATGGGTGCTTGTTACAGAGCAGGGGACTTTACGCAGGCAAAGAGATAACCGACAAGTGAGAATTAAACAGATGCTCAGGGAGAGAAAATGGAAAGTGCGCAAAACACGGAAGTGAGTGCCAGACACAGATCGGGCTTTCAAAGTTAGATGTTCCTTGGGATTATGTCAGGAAACTGAAAATGATCTTTTTCTCCTGTATATAGATAATAGTTGACACACACTCTCTCTTAATACACGAGACATCGAATCACTTCTAAGCTAGATATGCAAAGAATGGCTAGTTTATCCTCTAGTGTCTATGTTCTAGTTCCTAAAGGCATATATGCATATGTGTGTTTAT